AAAGTCCATTCCTCTGCAACTGTTGACTCTCAACTGCACATTAGCTAACAGCACCGAGGCACCGATGACAACGGCAGCTCCCACAGCAGCTCTAGACAGGTATTTTCCCTATAATTACAACCTAAACCTGTGTTTTAGCACAGCACGCAGCCTGAGCCTGCAGTGCACAGCCAGTAAACACCAAATGGGATGGGAGAACACTGCCAGATCATATACCAGCTGCAGTGTTAGCTGTATTTTTCTGCCATATTTGAGACAGCTTAAATGTACTCACTGGTCATCACTAGTTGCTTTTGTCACCTCTTCACAGACCTTTCCTGGCAGACACCTGGTACTCCCTCTCCTACCTGTACTTCAGTGCCGTAGGCTGCCTAGGCTGTGCCATCACAGGGCTGCTGATAAGCTTTATAACAGGTTGGTATTTTATATATATACATATATATGCATATATAAATGCTTTTACACAATAATCTGACTCAGCTGTTACGAGAGTTTTAAAAAAGCCCAGCAAGCAGCCTGGGAGAGACTCAGGAGAGGGCAGTGGGCTCCAGTCCTGCTCTACCCCACCTCATGCTCTGGGACACCCAGCTATCCATACATTTATGTATAGTTCTTTTCTCTTTTCAGGACCCAACAAAGGAGAAGATATCCCACCAGTGTTAATCCAACCAGTTTGCAACCTGTTTTGCTTTTGGTCCGACAGACTCAAAGCTCTGCTCTGGTGTGGTGTGCGGCACCACAGCCAGGAGGTGAGTACCTGAGCCCACAGCTCAGCCCTGCCATGGCACTGGTGCCACAGGTGTACATGAGGTATGCACCACACGAAGAGCATGCCAGCCTCCATCAACCCCCCTGTAAAGTTATGCAAGGGATGCTGCATAGGACCACAGACTGGAAATGAGATCAGCCAACCCCTGAACAGTGCTGGGCAGCAATAAGTTACCTATCTCCCCTGTCTACACAGTGCATGAGCTGTGGAGACAAACAGCCCTTGGGACAGCCAGCAGCCCATGAAACGGTGGCTGAACTCCTGCTCCCTGCCTGCCTTGCTCTACCAGCCAAGCAGGGACAACACTGCACTTCGCACCCTGAGATCAGTTCACTGAGCTCTTGCCCCCTCCCACCGAGCCAGAGAATAAAACTTGAGTAGTCACATGTCCATAGAGCTCTCCTGCTGATACTGCCATTGCCACCTTCAGACCCGGCAGGGCTTCTTCCCTTCAGGGCAGCACTGCTGGCCCATCAGCTGCAACCACCAGCACCTGAGGAGCTGTGGCTCACTACCTCCACGGACACAGGGCCAACTCTTCCACAGGTGTCTCTGGGCTTCACGAGCCATGCAGCATGAGCACCTCCTCCTCAAGTGCTGCTGTAACAGTTTGCAGAATCTGCTAGGTGTACAGAAGGGGCAGAGTCCCAGAATGGTTTGGGCTGAAGGGACCTTAAAGCTCATCCACTTCCAACCCCCTGTCATGGGCAGGTACACCTTCCACTAGTCCAGGTTGCTCCAAGACCCATCCAACCTGGCCTTGAACACTGCCAGGTATGGGGCAGCCACAGCTTCTCTGGGTACCCTGTGCCAGCGCCTCACCACCCTCACAGGGAAGAACTTTTGCCTAAGAGCTCATCTCAACCTTCCCTCTGTCAGTTTAAAGCCTTGTCCTATCGCTACAGAAAGCAATATGAATGTTTTCAACTCCTTCAGAATACCCTTTAAATCCTGAAAGTAACTTTTCAGCTGCAAGGCTCACATAGAAACGATCCTTCCAGGCAGCTTAAGTTTGGCATTAAAGCTGATGGCTTCATTTGGACAGCAGCTGTGATGCCTCTAGATTTGCCTCAGCTGTTTCACTTGGCTTTTAGGTGCTCAACATAACTTCATCTAGAACTTTCCTGAAGCAAAAGCGTCTCAGTAAAAGCAAAATCACATATGCATTTATTGGCTTGTATTTGCTTAAAATGTAGAATAACATTAACCAAGTATTTACAGTGTGAAACCACTGAGGCAAGTGTAGGCCAATCCACTAAAATGCACATAAAAATGCAAATGACAATCTAAATTTAAGTACTCAGGAATGCACTGAGGGCACATTTAAAGACTTTCATATGAACAGAGTTGTTACGAGAATTGGTTTTGTGGCTTTTGCCAAAGACTTTCCATGGGGAAATGAGAAAATCAATGGTTACATATGGAGGACACACACACTGAAAAGTGCCTATTTGTGGGCATGAGACTCATTTTATGTAGTGAAGTAACTCCTCAGATTTATAAGAAAGGATGTCAGAATTTCAAACTGCAACAAGATAGCCTTTAGCCAAAGGAAAAAAGCCATGAATCCAGGCTTCAAACTACTGAGGTATTGTTTTTGCTTTGTTTTGTTTTTTTCAGGGGGGCTTGGAAAAAAATCTGCCTAAAGATACTGCAAATCAAACTGGAACCGATGACACCTTCAAGAATAGCACCAACAAAGAAAACAAATGCCAGTTCCCTGGTTACAGTCCCAAGGAAAAATCCTATACTAATATGAGCAGAGAATCTCGCCTCTAGAAGCTGAGAGACAAGGGACATTTAATCAAACTCTATGTCTTCAGCTTCAGAAATGAAGGGGTTTGAGGTTTTCTTATTACATTTACCAGCTTGCAGATGACCAAGAGGGATGAATTGCTCTCTATAGCAATTAAGGCTAGATTTTTATTTATGAATTTCATGACAGACCTGGGAAATCATCGGACAGTGGGGTTTTGGAGGCACTGCTACTTCAGAAGAAATGCTTCGTGAATCTTGTTGTGGAAGCTCCTCCTTGGAAGTAGCTGCAATACATCTGTATCCCATGCTCTGTTCAGTAACCAGTCATCGAAGGGAAACTTGCAAAGGGGAACTTGAGATAAATTAAGACTTTAAAGTAGCTTCTGAGGTCTCTCACTAAGGTGAGACTGTGAACTGCCCTCTGATGGAGGGGAAAGAAGGGAGGTCAGGCTGAGACAGTATCTGCCTATTTCTAGGTGTCACAAAAGGCCTCCTCACAGGGATGTTGTATAGACCAGACTGGTCTTTCAGTGACTGAGCTGCGTTTACTTCCCCTGTAGAACTCAGATTTCTTTGAAACGTCTTACTGTAAAAGCTATAGGAGGGAGTAACAAATTTGACTTCAAATGCAGGATAGTTCTTTATTCATGTTAGTCTTGGAAAAACATCCTTTCAGCTCAGAAAGTTCCCTACACTACCTTTATGCAAGAAAGAAAATGACAGTTGATGATGATGCCTCCTCATTGAAAGTACTGAATTTTGAAAAAAATACACACAATTAGGCAAAATCAGCGGTCTGATAAAACATCTTGGAAGGAGGTACCTAGCCCACTAAGGTTCTGTTCCAGTGAGAGATTTTCTCTAGAATTTGCCTCTCTAAGTCAAACTCAACAGACCACCCTCTCACCTTGATATATGTTTGAATGTAGTTTTCTGGATGAATGTATTTGTGTTTATACAAAGCTTGTAATTCAATGTAACAGACTGAATACCAAAGACTACTTAGTTATGGACCCAGCTGATATATTGAGCTCCTGGATATATTGAGCTCCTGTTGCTTTGAAGAACCCAGCTGTTGCTTTTGCTTTATCAGTGACCATCTTTATGATACAACCTGGTCCTTGAAGTTATTTCCGCCATCTGTTTTCATGCCCTACCTCTGGGTATGGTCCCAGGATGTTCAATCAGAGAACAGAAAGTGCAGTCTGTAAATGACACTGCCATCCTTGTGTGGGGCAGTTTGTCAGCAAACTGAGAATTAGGTCAATATTTGTGTTCACCCTTTTCACCCCACATTTATAGTATCATAAAAACTTACAGCTGAGTCTGGCTGGCAGCCTGTTGCCTCACATGGCATACTTTCATGCTTCCAGACTCAGTATGGTTAGGAGGTAAATACAAAAATTGAGTAAATAATGCTATTGTATCATTTATATCTCATGGCTACACACATTATTGCTTACATTAGATTAGGAGACGATAACTAGCATGTTTAAAGATGTAAAATAATTCCGGAGTGAAAGTGGTTCAAAACAACCATTGTGAAGCTACATAGCTGGCCAGTGGATGAAAAAGCCCTCTGTACTGGTAGAGTTGGGGGGTATCTGATGCAGAGACCTCTAACTGTGAAAACAACCAAGTCTAATCTAAATATTTCTCAAGGCACTTTTACTCACTGCAGTATTATTATGCTCTGCATGCTGTATTTTTTCACAAGTTTACCATTTTCACAAATTTTAACATTGGATTCACTGCAGATTTTTTGTCCTTTCCCAGAAAAGGTATTCTCCGAATCAGCTAGAATTGCGTTCTCTCAAAAGATTTTTGAAGAAACATCCTTGAGAATTTCTCTTTAACTTCTTGTTTCTGGGCTAGTTTTGTTTCAACCAAAGCTGCTCATCAAGCCCAAGTGATTCCTATGTTTGTAAAGGAGCCAGTCATTCTGAAGGGCTTTACTAAATCCTACATGTATAATTAGTATGACAACTAAAATCAGTAATTGCTAGTTCAGTCTTCTACCAAGATACAAAGATGCGGCCTAGCAAAACTGGAACACAGAAAAATTACCATCCTGCTTAAATATTCACACCAGTGTTGTTTACAGTTATCTTCTTATCTTCTAATTTCACTTACATCCTGAGTCATTGATCCTTCCAGAGAAGAGCTAGCTGTTGAGCTGAAAAAATGAGGTTAAGAGATGAGGAACGTGTAAATTCTAAAAGAAGAGCTTATATTTAAAAAATTGCTAGTCACTAGTGAAAGCCATAGACCAGAAATCACTGAAAATTTGAAAAGTGAGTCTAAATATAGTATGTAATTGCTAGAAGTTAAAGGTGTCCAAGCCAAGTTTAGCCCTTAAATTCCTTACACTACTATGGTTTGAAGACTCATGAGCACTCCCTTTTCAAGTGCATACCTTTTTTTTTTTTTTAATTAACTTTGAATATTTGGAATAATGAAGCTTAAAAACCTCTTTCAAAGATATCCAAGTTTATTACTGAAAAAAATGCAATATTCAAATGTGTATGATATAGTAAGTAGTTGCATTTGTACATGTAAACCTTGGTAAAGTAAACAGCATCTCAAAGACAAATTTATGCCAAAAGTGTCTTACAATAGTTAATCAGATCAACAACTTTTTCCTTGGTGAATTCTTTTAGTTCTGGGGCACACAAGAGCTTGTGAAAGTAATCTTAAAACACAAAAGAAACCAAAAGCTGACAGGTCAGAGGAACTTCTAGCTTGCAGTGCATAAAAGTCAACTTCTCTGAAACGCTCTGTGGCACTGTAATCTTATTTTAAGTATTACTTACAAAGTGCGGATCTATGAATAGAAAAAATAGTTGAGATTTTATTCTTATTCCTTACTTAGAAACCAAGTTGTATTTAAATATTAAATAAATTTCAAGTATATACACATTTTAAGAAATCTCTTACGATCACGATATTGCAAGTTAACCAGGACTATCCAAGTAAAAAATGACTGAGCTATCTTATTCAGTTAGATTTTACATGACACTATTTAAAATAACTGAAATTTCAGTGATACTACTACAGGTAAAAATCAGAGCCAACAGTTTGGAAGATTTTTCAGTACAAAACACTGAGTCATCTAAATAGAACACAAAATTACAAGGTGATCCAAAATTTTTTTTTCATTATTAACAGAAAAAAACATCGTATTCTCAGTGGTTAGAATCTTGTTAGCTTTAGACTACATTTGGTTTAATCATAATTTCTCCTCCAAGTAGCATCCTAAACTAGCTCACACCAATAAGAATGCAAACTACAGAGAACAAATAACAGTATAGAGGTTATGGCAACAAGTTAGAACAGAACTTACACAAAGTAATTTCCAGTGCAGTGAGGAGGAAACACGCCATTAACATTCTAAAACTAAATCCTATTCCCAGATTTAAAAGTTCCTGTGTAACATGGAACAGCAAAGTGGTATCTCTACAGTTCCTTGTTGTGCTGTTGTAACTTTGTGCTGTCACGGTAACATTGTGCTATCACGATTACACCAAAACCATGCCTATACAAATTTCTGGTAAATGTGGTTGACAATGTCAGTATTAGAGAAAAAAATGTCAACTATGTAGATTTAAAAATGTTAGGATTATGTAGCGCATTTAGGATGTGTGTGGGTGGGATATAAGAAGTGCAACATATAGCGCTTGGGAGAGGGGCTGAAAGGACAGATCCAGAAACGGGTAGCCTACTGGCACACTTCGGTAGACCCTGTGCTTCCTCCCACCACTCCATCCAGTGCATACCAATTTGTAACGAGCACCAGACAAACTAGTGTTTGTGCACTTTCTGCTTTGGCTTCTCAGTTAGGGACATCCAAAAAGAGTCTGTAAAAACTTCTGCAGTTACACAATTGCCCTGGAAATTGGACTGTCAGCAAGAATGCATCAGTTATTAAAATACTGAGTATAAGTAAAGAGTGAGAAAGAGAGAAGAATTTAGGAGGACTGTCGTCATGCTCCATCTTCAAACCCTTGTTTTGCAGAACCTGCCAGAGTTCTGGAGAAAAACCTGCTGAAGTGCAGAGGAGTCCTTTGCTTCCTCTGCTCCTCCTCAGCCTCCACACGTTGGCTTGTTGCATTTTATCCCAGCAGAACATGGGCTTTGCGAGCAGGAGGTCGACTATGAAAAGACTGAGGGATCTTTAAAAACTGCTAAATTTTCCACCACAAGAATTTAGGTTTGTAATTCACTTAAACACTTTCCAAAAGTGTCATTGCATGCATTTTAGACAAAGTATGCATTTGAACTAAGAAAAAACCAACAAAAGTGTGTAAACGTGGAATTCTGTTTGAATTCTAGTGTCAGCATTAACACCAAATAAACATGATTATGAAAGGCTGGCTATGTATTTGTTTCAACCTTTACCCCAAATAAGCAACATCAGTAGTTTATGAGGATTATGAAAAATAAAATGCTTCTGGAAATATTACTGTATTGTAAGTGATTGTTGATATCACTGTTCCCTTTCTCCTGTGCAACACTTAATAGAAAATGCAACTGATTTTCCATTAACCTTACTGACTTTATATTTAGCTGTTTGTCCTGGGTTCAGCTTAAAACACAACACTGTATAAAATAAGTTTTATTGACATGGCCATTGCCAGTGTTATAAAAGCCGCTAGTTTTTACCAGTTTTAATGAAAATTTGTGACACTTTCAAGTTAACTACATACTAACCTTTTCAGTTTCTTTTCAATTTATGGACATGGATGATCTTCAGTTAATCAAAAGTATATGATGCTTCTAAATATGCATGTATTAATTTGCCCATGAATGAACTGAGACACAATACAAGAAATTAATAAGGCCCATTATGCCATGTAGGAGTTTACAGTCCTACATGGCATCAGTGCATTAGAACTTCGCAGTCCTACTAAATGCCTGGATCTCATGGCTCCAGAAATTCTCTCTGGCAGCCATCCCATTTGGAGTGTGAACTGGAAGAAGCCACAGCAAGCAAACAGCACTACTCACTTACATTAGGCTGATCATTAAGTACATTAGGAATAAAATATCACCAAAATTCTTGCCTTTCCCCACACTAGCACTCATACTAAAGCTGTGTTTTCCAAGGTATTTTTCCTGCTGAAGAACTTTTTATGAAAGAAACTTCAGAGATTCAGGAATTTACACATTAAGGTAGCCATTAACCTCTTTTCACTATGCCCCCCAGACATTTTTCTTTTGAGCTTTTCACAGGACACAATGAGTCAAACTGATCCTCAGAAAACAATTTAAGTCAAGCTGGTGTTGGAAAAGGGCATTAAAACAGCTGATGGGTGTTTTGTACAAATTAAGGTAAGTACTTCCAAAGAAATATTAACGAAACAATCACTTATCATCCATCATCACCATGGAAATTTTAGCCTTGTCATCATCAATATTAACTTCCATGTTCACCTACATTTTCTCTATAAATTCTTTAACAAAAAGGGTTAGGAAAGAAAAATCTAAAAGTAAACATCACGTCATTTGCCTCGTTTCCAAATATTGGTACTCTGTCACGATGCTCAAACACTGTACTCTGTTTCTGCTAAGGAAAGTGGATTACAGTATAACAAGTTGAGAGCCTGTGCTCAATCTTCAGACAATTCTGTTAGTACTCAGTTGTGAATACTGAGTTCTTCATGCTTCCACCTATATGGAGACACACATTGAGCTCTAAGAAGGAACCTCTCATTAGGATGGTTAATGCAGCAGAATTCTCTTTTTTTACTTTTTTAGTCACCAGAACTCAGATCTCACACATTAGGCACAAATTTAGAATAATAAGTCATAAGCAATGAGATGTGTATAATGTCCTGGGTTCAGCAGACTTTTTGTTATTTCTGAGATGGAGATTTCTTCTGTCTGAATCAACACAAAACTTGGTTAGGAATAATTAAGACATTTTGGACTAACCTTCTGTATTTCAAAATACCGAGTTGCTCGTGCAGTCTCTCTAAGGGCGCATGCATAGAGCAAAGTTGTCACAGATTAGATCTGCAATGACCTAAAGCATTTTTTGCACAAACTGAAGTTCTAAAGCTTGTCATAAACGCAGCTTGCATGCACAGTCTATTCATACTGGTCATTTGTTTGGAAAGACAATATTTAGCATCTGAAAAGATCATTCACCATTCATAAAATATATTATTCCTGAGGACAGAGTGTGCTTTATACTTCAGTAAAATAACGTGCAATCAATGCAAACAGCATACTAAACAAAGTCTAGCAAAAAGATTTCTCAGCTTAAGCAAATAGCTAGATAGTGGCAAAACCTTCAGACATTGCTGATGTCCTCAAAAAATAAAGGAACACACACAGTGTTTCTCCAAAACTTCCTGTGCTTTTCCAGTGCATAAAATGTACAATGTCAGACCTGCATACTTCCCTTTGAAATACTCCTATACACCAGTGTTGAAAATCATTAATAACATATATATTTAAAACCCAATTACAAAAAGGATTTCTCTCCTATGTGTTTTTTAAGTCCAATTGGAATTTGCCTAAGTATGTATTGACATGTGCTAATATCCACAGCAAAACCAGGGAAGTGTAAAATAGTATTTCTGATTTTTGCCTGATTTTATCCTGTATCTTTATACCTTGGGCCAGCCAAAGCATTTTGTTTTTAGAGAAAACATTAAAAAAAGAGAGCTCATCTGTGACCTGCTAAAGAACTGAAGTACTATCACTACGTGGCACAGAAACAGAAGCTGTGACACACGGTTAATGCTGTCAAACGGTGCTTGATAATCTACAGAATGAAAAGAGAGACAAGAGAACCTGTGTGATTCTATAAGCACTGAGGGGAGTGCATTAATTATTTCTGATAAGGACTACTGAGGAACTTAACACACAATCCAGAATATGAAGGAGCAAAGCAGCCTTTGCAAAATATGGGAAGTGAGTTTTACCAGCCCTTTATCACAGAACTAAAAGCTAATATATCTGGATAGATCAGACCTTCCAATTTCTTTCCTCCTTTGTGCAGTACTGTAGATACTCCTACAGTTGCCTGGTCTGGTCACAGAGAGCTGGAATTAACCCAGAAATCTCGTGAATATAGTGAAATGGCTTAAGAATTTAAGGTCTGATGCTATGCCCTCTGGATACAACATATCCTACTTATCTGCTTTGATGCGCTCTTGACTCTAAGAATTAATTTTATATGCATAATAAAATGATTGTGCTAATACAGTCAAGTGAATATTGGAATCACACTTTTTGATTCAGTGGAGTACTATAAGTAGTAAAAATTCAGGTCTTTTCATATCTATCAGCAGTGATTTTGCTGCAGCCTCATCCCTAAAAATAAAGTTAAAATTTGCAGCCTTTATAGTTACTGTGCTTTGTTGACTCTTTGTGTAATTATTCTTCATCCAATATAGAGAAGCATTATTTAGAATTATACAAGAGAAACAGAATGACTGGAACTCTCTTTCTCCACACCCTTCTCTGCAAGGTAACCCTAAACACTTGCTCTGATTGTTTAAATAATGTGCTGCCCTCTTCCCATATTATGAAACATTGGCAACAGGCAATTTCATTACCAAAATGTGACTATAACCATAAGCAACATTGCTGTATGCACATAAAACTTGAAATTTGATTCTTTATATGAACATCTACCTTCTAGAGTGATTTTATCCAAAAAGCCCCCCTCCCCAAACTGTAAGAAGACATACAAATAATAATTAAAAAATCTAAAAGTAACCACTGTGTGTACGTGTGCATTTATAGACAACCTGTATACGTGTCTGCCTGTATCCAACTCCCATGCTTTGACATATTTATGCCAATAGAAGTAGTGCACATTACTGGAGTATTTACATTTACAGTAAGAAGAGGAGCATTGTTATAAAATGCTCTGCTTCTCCTTCCCTGAACAAGCAAATCAATGTTATACTGTATGCCTGATATATATCTGCATAAGCTTGCATACTATAAAGTTATTCGTATATTGAGGACAAAGTCATTTGCACGGTTATGAGAACATCTCAAGTTAGCATTCTGTGAAGTCATGGAATCATTGCCCAGACAGGTCAAAACGAACAGTAACACAGGTAGACATCTGCATGCTACACCAGAGCATGAAAATGACAAATCTTTCATCCTGGAAGCATGTGGAGGTGGCCTTTCTGCACACAAAAGTGCAAGGCAATTGAACAGCCACATCATTTTCAAACAGAGCTGCAATGTGGGCAATGCAATGTGTTCTCTCAGTGCTGCTGTTTTCTCTTTGAATTTAGAATTTTTGGTTTTCAACTAGAAGGATAAATTAATGACACCGATATGTGCAATTCTTAAACTGCATAGTATACATTAAGCAGCCACAGACCCCTTTTTTTAGGGTAGGACCACATCCACAATCTCAACAAGAGACTAGGACAAACCTGACAGAACAGTAAGCTTGAAAGATCATTTATATCAAGTTATGGCCACAAAGGCAACACTTGCTCTTTTCTTCAGAGGCATTACAGACGGAGCTGAGCAATCAGAAGCTAGATGGAGCTGAGCAATCAGAAGTAGTGGATATCATGTAAGTTTGTTTTAGTCATGCCCTTACTGTGTAAATTGACAGGTAATTTTTATTTCCACTTTGCTGTTAGTATCTTCATAAACAGCATGAAAATTCATTGCCTTTTTTAAATCATGGTGTCCAAATTTTTTATCTGTCTGCGCGTTCCTGAGTGCCAATTCTGACCAGAGTTGGTGACTCACCGCAGACCTGTTATAGGTAAGGCTTTTCATTTCGTTCATCAGAAGCATCTATTTTCCAGTTGCCACCAAAGCCTGCAACTGTCCTGCTCAGGAAGAACATATATACACTGTGTATCTCATACACTGATGCCAGACTCTGACTTCATTTTGTAACTGCACTCTTCAATTTCCAAACGGTGTTTTTGTTGCAGCATGGTAGTGACTAAGGCCATTCATGGTGATATTGTTTCCCATTCTTTTTCCTTTCTCTCTGCAAATGCTCCAGTTCAGCCTCATACATCATTTCCTGGACTAAGTATTTCTCTCTCCTCATTCTGTCACACAAGTCTTTAGGCATGTCTGGAATCAGGTAGGCAATGAAAGACTTTATTCCGAAAACAAGGTGCTGAAAAGAAGAATGAAAAGAATTGCTTCAAAGGTGCAAAAATGTTCACTTCTAATACCGCATTTTGGAGCCTAAAAGGTTGTGGCAAAACTGGAATTGAGGTTTAATTCATGACCAAAAATCAACTCCTTTGTTTTTTAATATATTATATTTTTATAGTTTTACAGAAATGTGAAAATGCTGAAGTCTTCTGAAAAGAAAAACTTTAGTGACCTAAATGAAGACGTGACTGCAGGATATGCTAGTCTGAATAACAATAGCTAACACTGCCTACAAGCAGTCTTTGTTAAAAGCCTGTAATCAAAGTAACCAGACTCCTGGACAGCCTGTAATACATTCTCCAAAGTTAGCACACACACTTCTGTTTTTATATTAAGCTAGAATCATGTACATTTTCCTGACAGATTTTAACTGGTAATAACTGTGCTTAATGTAAACCTGAGTTGCACTTCTTTTTCTATAAAACTTTAAAGATTTGATTCAGAACTGAGCTGATGTATGACTTAAGGAAACATAATTTTGGAGGGAATCTAAAAGCCTCTGTGTGCTCTGTCAGTTCAGTCTGACAACAGCTTGGGGAAGGTGATTTTTTTCCCCTCTTTCTCCTGACTGTAATGAACAAGAAGCTGATGACGCTAACAAATTTTTTTATGGGAGTACTGTAAAAACAAGTAAAAAAAAAAAAAAGTAAAAAAAAAAAATCAAGAGTTTAAGGAGGTAGAAAGGAATTGTTCCTTTTCATGACTAACCTCAAATACTATGATGAAGGCCAGACGTGCTGCCAGGACATGCCAGAACTGTAAAGTGAATTCATATGGAGTTGAACTCCATGGTGGGGCTCTGTAATCTCTATACCTGGAAAGCAAATCAAAACCAGTAAGTTAGTCTGTGCTTGAAAACCCGGACAAGGAGAGAAACTGAAGTGGAAGTGTACTTCAAGAGGAATTAAATAGAAAAGGAGAACAGTCCACAATACAAACAAATAATAAAAAATAAATGAAGATAGCACTTTTTTCTTCCAAAATTCCAGAGCAAACAATTTCTTTTGTTGTTATAAAGCTGACACTCTGGAGTGTTAAGTTCAAGTGTGTTGATTCTAAATTGGTTCTTGTCTGTGCTTCTAAGTGCTTGAGATTCTCCAGACAAAGTTTGCATAAATGTAACATGATTCTAAAAATTAGTCAATTTAAGCTAACCCTCACTGCAAAACTAAATTTGAAACCAGGAATGCACTCATGCAATGCTGTATTTATCTTTTATGCCTAATTTTTCGTATATATCTTGCATAATTGGGATCTCTAAAGGGGTTAGAGCCACAAAAAAATTTTAATTGTGTATTTTAATTAAAGGACCTCAGAATGCTTAAGAAAACCAAAATGAGAATTTTTACCCTCTTGGCAACTGGGGAAATTTGAAGTGAAATAATTCATAGAAGCACAAAAGACAGGGCTGCAAGAGGCCTGGAAAAACTCAGAACACAGGTTTCCAGTCTGTATCCTACCACACAGTGTTTACCACACAGTGTTTACACTTGAGACATGGTTCCATGCTGAACCAACTTAAACTCCAATGCTTTTACAAGTAAAACTGTTACGCCAGTAATTTAAGCACTGACTTCCTTTTTTATGTCTGCATTAACATCTATGTATTACAAGAAGGGAGAGCACCAAAACATACCGGCAGTATCCTGAGTATCCCATTCCAAGTTCACTCAAATCAAACACTGATAAACTGCTGTTGACATATCCTTTTAAGCATCTGAAAGGAAAAGACATAGGGAGAAGACATTCTTCATGAAGAGGTTATGCAGCACAGATCCTTTTTGTGAACAGCCTGCTATCACATGTTGTGAGCGTACAGATTTCTTTGCTTATCAGGACAAAACCAATTCTTAAAATTTCAAACAGATAAGCAAGGTTTTATTGGAAAGAAACAAGAAACGTGTTTCGGGGAAACACTGTCTAAAAATCCACTTTCAGCACTTTTCATGGTTTTGCTTCTTATCCATCAGCAGACATAAACTGAAAATGGTTGCTACAGTGTTCTCTGATGTCTCAAAATTAGACCGACTGTACTTAGAAAGATGGTGAGAGGCAGAAAGAAGAGCTATTCACCACCCTGGCAGAATCTGCCCCAAGTCATGCAGCATATACCAAAAAATGTCAGGTACTGAGATGAATCAAAGAAGAATTTTCACCAACAGTAAAATCAACAGTGCATATATACCAAACAGCCATCTTAAAGGCAACAAATTATTAGGATTGATGGCAGAAATCACACAAATGCATTGAATTAGTGAAGAAGAAAAAATTTTGTCTGTTTCTGGAAAACCATGGACACATAAGACATCCCATCTTCTTGGAAAGCTGACCTGTAGTTTAACAAAGGGCCTTTTGAAAGGCAAAGGACATTTAAAAATACATGTATCAGGGATCCTGTTATACTTCCTGAACCTTCAGGTTTGCTGTGACACCTCAAATAACTACTGGCAAAAGAAGAAATAGAATTACATAGTTCTCTATTAAATGGGTAGTGTACATTAAGCACTAAGTTTTTTCTGCCATGGTCTTTTCTCATCCTATTCTTCCTCATCCTTTCTGCCCCTAAATTCTCTCCTCCTGTGACAGCACAAGAAGAGTAACTCTCTCTTTCGAATCATTACAGATGGAGCAATAAGGAAAGGATGGACAGACCCTTGTGGTTTGAACTGGGGCACAGTCTGTGAATGCAGCAGTACTGGCTTGCTGGACAAGCCTTGATGCTTTCACTCTTACCATTCCTCCTGTGCAGTAAAGATAAGTTCTGCTTGTGAGATGTGCTATAGCACTAGTAAAGTGATGCTTCCTTTTCTTTAGGTAACCTTGACCCTGTATTAAAAAGACAACAGAACCCTCCAAAACCATCCCCTAAAACCACCTATAGGGCACTGGTCCCCAGATAAAGGAGAGGGTGCCCATAAGTACTGTGAGCTGTTTAGATCATTAAAAGGTCATGACAGACAGTGGGAAATGCAGACTGAACACAGTGGACACAGTTCAGAGACACTGGTAAGTTGATGAAAAGAAATGCAGGAAACTGGCCTGATGGGGCAAAGACAGGCAAGCTACCTTGCTTGAACCTAATTAAAACCATATAAGAAGTCAAGCTGAATACTGTCGAAGCCAATCTTGCTGGTGCTTGGCTGCAAGCATTTCTGAAGAGAAACAGGCAGGGAAGTTTGAAGGTGAACAAGGCTTAGGGTAAAAGGGTTTAGCATATATGTGTGTGGGAGCATACTGTTAGCAGACAGTCAGAACTATTACAGAAAGGAAGAAACCCTTATCTAGAGAAAGCCTGTAAACTGCTACGATGCGTACTGAACTTTGTTGTTTGCATTCAGAGGTGAAGACATGATTTTCCACTTACATGTCCATGCAGTTTGTTTGCAAACTCTCTGGAATGGCTGAATTACACTTGCACTTAGCATCCGTGAAGATTTGCACAGATGTAAAAGGTAAAATACTGCTGCTATATGTTATGTATGTTAACACAGAAAGCTGAAAAAGTGAGCTTCCACTGAATTATACAAGTCTATATAAAGAATATGCTATTTACTTTTCTTGTCTGTACCCTTGATCTGTACAGGGACCATATTTGTATGCATAGACAAAACGTGGAATGTAATCAGAAGTAATGGCAATAACAAAGGCATTGGTGATGACAGCCAGGACTCCAATTCCTTCCAGAATCCCATACCAGATACCTAGAAACAAGAGAAAAAACAAGGAAATAATTAAGTTTTTATAATCATATTAAGTCATACTAATGACACTTAAGCCACTGTTAGTCATATAGTTATCCTTTCTTATTGAGAAAGACCTATTTGGTCAGAAAAGGTAATCAAGATTAAGTCATGTCCTCACACCCCTGCCACCACTGACTCCACCTGAATGAGACACACACTGCTGAGAAGAAATGGCTAAAGCAACAAAGGTATAACCACAATTGTTGGTTACAGAAGCCAAACACAAGATGTTGGAAAGAGATTCCTTATTTTTTTTTAATTCAGTTTTAAACCAAAAGTGAATTTAGTCCTTGTATTTCAAATAGCATTTTGGACCTAAAGTTTCACAAATCAGAAGTCTAAAATACCATTTAGCCTGTTTCCAAAATTTGAACTATTATGATCCCTTTTTAGAAACAAAAAAAAAAAATTGAGGAGTCCTCTTAGCTAAGCAACTGAGTATTCTTTTGTTGCTTAATAGGAGAGTTGTCACTGAGATCTGTGGGTTACATTATCAGTTTTACTTTTGATGCATGAACTATTTTAAGGGTTAAGCTGCATAAAAGAAGGAAAAAGTCATTATGTTCTCTCACCTATATCTGTTGCTCTTGCAGGCATAGGTCTTCGCCACTGAGTGACAAACTTGTATGCATCTAATCTTATTTCTATGATATTGTTAAGCAATGCCAGGAGAGGTGCCAGTGGGAAGGCAGCAACAAAGATGGTGGTGAAGCCAAACTGTAAAACTAGACAGGTATTTCTCTGGTCAGAAACTGGAAGTGCAAACGATCTTTTAACATGGAATATACTTTTATTTTCTTAAGAAAACTGACACCTCCCTAAATTTGCTCACCCATCTCTAAATATTCATCCATTAAACCATGAAGATTCATAGGCTGTAGATTCCAGTCCTTTTCCCACTGAGGCAGAGACACTTTATGCTCCATTAACTGCCCTCCTCTCTTCATTTTGCGTCGTGACCACCAATTCTGTAATAAACTTTATTAGGTAAACAGAGTATTATTACTGACCATATTTGCTCAATAATTTACAAAACTTGCTGGTATTGTTTTGAAGTAAGAGGGCTTATTTTGAGCAGCACCTGAATGCTTACTCAGGTATTTTCTGCAAACACTTATCATATAAGATACAATTCAAAGAAGTCCTCAAAATTCTGCATTATGATTTTAATTATGTCTTTCATGTAGCATGCTAGTCATTCAACAAATAAGCTTTTCAGAATACAGTATTTGCTTGCATAGACTTTTTCTGTAGGATTTACCTAAATAAAAAACCAATCATGCTTAGCAAGAGCATTAAACCAGTAAGTAACGCTTTGATTTTAATCCTGGGAAAGACAAACCAAGTAAGTGAAGCTCAGTAAGAAATCTGTGCTACTGGAATACATTGAACAGTCGAACACATCTACTACTTTGGAACAAACCTGAAGATCTAAATGCTCTACGGATTATTTTTTTCTTGAAGTAATAAAGTGTGTCTAAAAAGGTGTTGCTGAAGCTGCGAAGATTTAACAGTAGTTTTTATAAAACTGTGCAGAAGTCTTTTCACGAAGTATCTATAATATGGAGTAGGTACTAGTCTCACACATTAAAATGTTATACAAATGAAAACTATTACCTAGTACTGCCAGAGGTGGCAATTAAAGACTATTGTTTGTTTCCAGATATTACTGAAAAGAGACTGAAGATGGGAAATAATTTTCTTGTATTTTTATTAACAGGTTCTTATTTTTTTCTCAAGCTAATTTAGGGTTTAGCTCTTAATCTCTCTTGCTACTGAAAGAGCAACTGCTGCCTCAGTCGCAAACAATTGCTTGTCAAAACAAAACACTATTTGCCAGAAAGGATTTAAGCATGTTCTCAAATTCTGGGCTGAGAAGACAGGAAGACTGATACTTCAGGTAGGTTTCTTCTTTTCAGAAATCCAAGCCTTACAACACAGTACACAGCTCATTTGAACAATTATTGCACATTGTGAGCATAACCCTTTCTGCAAGATTTTCAAGGTTGAGACTCATTAGATTAATATTTGATTAGCAACCTTCTCCTGAAAACATATTCTTTAAGTTTTCGGAGAACTGTAAGACTCTTAGCCCACCACTCTCTTCAGCAGCTGTTTGTACCATGGAAAATGAAATCACAGTAAAGAGTATAGATGGTTCATATATCCAAACAAGCTTTGTCTTAGAGGAGCAGTTAATGCTTCCCTTGGGAATGCAGTTACAGTGTATGAGACGCAAAAAGCAAAAATACTATGCAAACATATTTTTCCCTATCACTGAATTGCAGTAATGTAATCACTATTTGTAAACCAAATTTTAACACCTGAACTTACGGATAGCCTAGTTCCATGAAGTTGTTCCACATTTGTTTTAAAACCATAATAACTCCCATTTGCAAGCACAGATCTATCAAGCAGCCACTAGGATGACACTGAAATGAAATGGGAAAAGATCAATAGCTAAAATCACAGAATTCCTTTCATTTTTATTTGTTAGAGGGTGGATGAAAAATACTCATGTGTTTGGTGAAAAACATTAACCTCGAACTACAGAAATATTAAAAAAAATATTAATAACAAATATTGACACAGACTTTAGCTAAACAAACTTTAGACATATTATTTCTTGGAGAACTAGATCATATTACATAAGGGTATGAGTGCTCGGTATATGATAAATGATACAGTCCATTCCACTTAGACCAACACATACAAATTCATTTCAGAAGAACGGAGCAATGTTTCATTAGTAACATCCTAAGTGAACAGAGACTTACTAGCTGAATCTCTGGTACCAGTATCTTAACTATATAAATTGCTCTATTAAAATGTTTATTAGTTACTGAAATTCTTGTTAGAACATAGATGGGAAATTTATGCTATTTTACTCTGTGGCTACCAAGGTTCAATAAAAGAAACCTGTTTTTCAGAGATAACTTCAGCATGGTAGACATATCCAGGGAGGTGCAACTCGAACACATTTTCAAGTAGACTTTGAAAATATCATTGTTTTTTTTTTTTTCCAACCTTAGAATCAACGAAGGTTGGAAGGGATCTCTAAAATTCATCCAGTAGCAACCCCCTGAAATGGGCAAGGACACTTTCCACTAGACCAAGTTGCTCCAACTGCTGTCCAACCTGGCCTTGAACACTGCCAGGGATGGGGCAGCCACAGATTCTCTGGGCAACCTGTGCTAGGGCCTCATGACCCTCACAGGGAAGAACTTCTGCCTAATGTCTAAACTACATCTCCTATCTCTGAGTTTAAAGCCATTCCCTCTTGTCCTGTTGCAGCAAGCCCTACTGAAAAGTTTGTCCTCATCATTCTTATAAGCCTCCTTTAAGTATTGAAAGGGTGCTCTAAGGTCTCGCCAGAGTCTTCTCTTCTCCAGGCTGAAAAACCCCAACTCTCAGTTTTCCCCCACAGCAGACCTGCTGCAGGCCTTGGAGCATTTTTGTGGCCTCCTCTGGACCTCCAACAGCTCCACATCTTTCCTGTGCTGGCAGAAGCTTAAGAGGCTGATAAAAAAGCTGATTATGTTTATGTCCTCCATCCAAAAATTCTACACACCCAGGAGTTTCCAATCACGTAGGATCTAGAAGTGAGGTAAGGGAACATCACTTCCCTTTTCCCAAAGATAGAGACAGAAAGAACTGTGTGTCTTGGCCAGGGTCACTCAGCACAGTGGAGAATGCAAAAGGAAAAACACATGTCCTGTTTCCTATCCTTTACTATAAATAAGAGTTTACTCTTCACTGCACTTAATTAATATCCTTCAGCCATTTCCTTTTTACACATGGGAATTTCACAGGAACACAGAATAGCATTGCTTACCTCTTCAAGTCTCCATCTGTTAAAAAGCTTGTTGTACTTTCCTGGGCGGCCTGCAAATCTGTAAAGTAAGATTTCTGTTTCTCAGTGCATATTCCAAGAACACCCTATATCAGTAGTTATTTCACAGCATTCACTGAGCAAACTCAGAAAATATAAACAGATTAAATCACACAGGCTTAAATCTGGTATCTGTAGAATATGGAAGTTTCAGAATACAAACAAGGACCATCATTTTGCAAGTGACTCTAAGCTTTTATTATGTCCAAGACAAAAGTCCTAGCTTCAGAGGTTTTAGATGTTAGATATTCAGCCTCTCTAAGAAGATAAGCCATTGCAATGCATAGGGAGAAATGGGATCTGCATACTGCAGAAATGGGATCTGCCTGGCCATGTGAAGTGTGCACTCTCAGAATCTTTTTTCCAAACCCATCAGAACCAAAAGATTTTCAGAGATCTAAGAGACTCTTGTATAACAAATTGAAGCAAAATCCTTGCTGACCTCAGTGAAAGTTTTAGATGAGAGTGAAAAAAACTTGTGCCTGGTCCTAGTAGGCACAGGAGATAGCAAGATACAAAGAAGGTATTACCAACAGTCTTTCTTAGAGAGTTGTCTGGGTTTTTTCCCAACCAATCTTGAACTGAAATTATATTACAAAACTTTATAGAAGGCACTCTGAAATACTCTAGGGTCTGCATGAATTATAATTCTGATCATAAGGAAGTAAAGATGAAGCAAGGTTAGACCTGTCTGGTATCCCATTATTTGAGCTAAAGATAAACATGAAAACTAGAGCCAGAATTTCTGTCTCCTACTCTTAAGACCTGCCAGACAATACTTATTACTTATAGAAACAGATTCTGGAAAATGGAACCCAAGGGGAATAAACAAGAAATAATGAATAAAGCCCATTATGTGGGGCTAAATACAGACCCATGTTTAGGAAGTGGCTTGTACATTCAGAGGTTCTGAATTCTTACCTAGTAGGAAAGTACATAGACCCCACTTAAAAAGTAGACTTTTTACTGTCTAGTTTCATGAGTAAAGATTTCAAGGGTCTAACTGTCACACACAATTAAAAATATTAGTGTTATTAACTATACTTAGAATATGACTTGCATCTAAATCTCACAGTTCAAGTTGCTGATTTATTTTCTTCAAACCTGAAAATTAGCAAGGATTATGAGTCCTGCGCAAGTTTTCCTTTAAGTGTAATTAGCTAAGATACCTTACCTGCCAAGGAAAAAGGCAATGTAGAAGATGGAGCTATTCAAGTTGACAAACTGGAAGAGGAACATTTTCAAGGCAAAGCTGTTTTCCCATTCAGATTCTGTTCGAGGGTGCTCTGTGGAAAGAAACAATATACATTATCTGAACAAAAATGACACTGAGTTATGCCCAAGTTTGCTCACCAATTCAGCAACACTAACAGAACAAGTGACAGTTTCCAGTCATGGTGCTCCATCAGATTGCAGTTAATTTTTTTTTTTTTCTTAAAGTGCTCAGTCTGCAGGTCACAAAACCATTGTCCCAGCTCAGCCTACATTGGTTCTAAGCATAAACAGGAGATACAAGCTCCCTGGTACAGAACAGGAGAAAACTCTTTGGGAAGACACCTGTTCCATTTCCATGAAAAAGCTCTGAATTCAGTATAAACCTTTAATTTTAAGGCTACAGGCATCTTGATTTAAAAAAAAAAAACAAACAGAAAAAAACACACACCCCCATCCACCCCCAACATAACAAAAAAAACCCCACAAAACAAACAAAACACAGAAGCACTTTGGCATCAGCAGAGCAATAGCCAGGGACTGCCAAGGAAAACAAAGGAAAGAGCTACCAGCAGCCAGTTGGTTTCTCACACAGGCATCCTGCCTTCTAAATACATCTGCAAGAACACTACTTCATTCTCCTCGTCCGACTTAGAACTCAAGGGATAATGATTAATTCAAATTTCTCTGATGGATGTATCGAACTTGAAATATAGCACACTGATAAAAGTTTTTGTACTACTTAATAAATTACTTTGGTCTAATGATACCTAACTTAGAATACAAATGTACAGGATACTAGCTTTACAAATGGGTACTTGTTCCCAGAAGTTAAGATATCCTCCTTCTCTTTGATATAAAAAAACCAAAACCTTAGCAAGTGGAGTGTGCTACCCAGCTTAACTGCCCGATGTTCTAAGCAATGCTTAATTCAAGAAGCCTTCTTTTCTTTCTTTTTTAAAAATTCTTTTAGATATTTTAGGAAAAATCAGCTTGTATACTCAAATGAAATCATCATTTTCTTTCTGCCTGCATGTCAATATAATATATTGAAAAAGTTAAGTAGGAATACACATCAGTGTGATGCAGAAAAATATTTCAAAATATTTTAATAATTTGGAAAATTGACTGTGCATAATGAATCTTTTAACCAGTCCAGCTCCTTGTTAACTGAAACACTAAGTCCTGAGCATTTATTTTAGTGCGTGCTCTTCAATACTTGAACCAGCAGAGGGAGCTGTTAAACAGTGAGCTTGGTTTTAAACTATGGCAATATCAATTGCTTATTTTGACGTGGGCTGAAAAAGAAGGTTAAGACGAAACACTAAAAGGTAACATATTCACACAGCAGGAGATTTTAAATGCTGCCTCTGCTTTCTTGTGTAAGATAGAAAGCTCCATGACCGAATCACGATGAGAGGCTTCAGTATAATTTTTTTAATGTGACAGAATTAGTTCTACTTTAAAATTTATGACTTAACAATTTTATCTCAGGCAATGTAATGTTATCTTAACCTTTTTGTCCATACGAAAATTAATATTAAAAAACTTTAAAAGAAACTCCCCCCAAAAATAGGAATTTCTGAAAAATGGAAAAAAATCTGTTTTAGCGTTATAACAAAGAATATATTTTGACTTTTGCTCTATTATGACAATTTATACTATAAAACATAAAATACAGAAGTGTAAGAATAAACTCCTTTCTTTTCTGTTATTTCCTTGGTGAAATAATCATATAATTTCTTTTTCTGATACTTCTCACTTCTTTAAGGAAATGCCAGAATCATAGTGGGCATTGATGAAGTTTTCAAACCCCTGTTTGAAAAGAACCATGCCACTAATAAAAGACCTACATACCTAAGTCTGTCAGGAGATAGGCAACCTTTTCATATACCTAAAACAGAAATAAGAGATAGTATAAGCATGGTATATCCTGTCTGTTGTCAAATCCAGAATGAAAAGAAGCATGAAAAGCATAGGTGTTCTATTGCCTACAGCATTAAGGTATCCAGGCAGCTACCGGGCAGAGAAGGTACCTGCAACTGGGTGTAGTTTCCTACAAAGACTTCACTGAACTACTTTAGTCTCATTCTCCTGTAAATGTATATATGTAAGCATATATATTAAATATACAACAAAGATAAATCAAGAGCCAATAGGTCAAGAAAAGTGTTCAAACATCAATGGTTCTCTTACTGAACAGTAAGGTGCTTATCCTCTAACTTCAGGAGCAAAACTACGTGATCTAAAAGTAAGCAAAAAGCCTACTTTTGTATATTTCTTTGCATGAGTGTTCATACTGGTGAGGATTATCAGTCTATTATTGAAAACTTCCTTACCTGTTTACATATTGACTATCTCCAGTCCTAATTTGAAAAGACACTTATCCCAAGGTAGTTACACACTCTGAGAAATATTTCCTTGAGTATTTACTATTAATTGCAAGTTATTTTCAGTAGCTTAAGTGTGCTTGTTCAGTTGAATGTACTTTTTTATGACTTGGAATTGTAAGATATAATAACAGAAATAAATACATGACTGTGTTTTGAAGAGTTCTTTTCTATTGCAGTGACTGCACAATCTCCTTAAAAAAAATAAAAGCCATTCTTTGCTGTGCTATTATTCCTTTCTATGTGTTTATGCCTGCATGGGAATAGAAAAATGATAAATGAAACATTTAAACCAAAATCAGATATCATAGCAATTCTAGAACTGAGCGATTCTAGAACTGTGCAATACTGATATCACAATTGCATTTTACATAAAAAAGAGAAGAACTCAAAGTTATCATTTATTTATTTTATAAATAAGTAAATAAATAAACCAACCCCCCCCCCCCCAAAAGCCCAGCAAAAAGAAGGTATCAGCCAAGAAAATAATAAAATAGCATAGCTCCACTTAGAGATGTATTTTCAAAGGTAATGTAAAAAACAGAAACGCAAATGTAGAAAGCAGTAGTCCATACCACTGTGACTTGGTAATGTAAGCAAATATGTGAAGTGACAAATTAAGTAGTTATTAGAAAAAAACATTGAGAAACATAGTATTAGAAGAGGAAAAAGCCCTGAAATTCTAGCTTCAGGCACTGCTATGTGAATAAGCAAGAACATAACTGATATGCAGCAAACTCAGGAACCTTGTAAAAATTACTTTACCCTAATCCCTCCTTTGAAAGTGCAGAAGACTTACAACATTGAGTGACATGATGATCATAAAATTGATACAGACTCCAGTGCCAGATGTTGCAAACTGCCAATACTTCTTGATGAAATACCACTTGAAAGAAGCAAACTGTTCCATGGCTACCAGACGATACACCACAACAGCAAACACTGCAGTGAGGACCAGTGAAATCTACAGGGAAGTATTTATGAATACAGGTATTATAACAAAATAAACTACATCTGAAATAATTCCCACTGAATTAACAAAGTAACAGGTGTTTTAATGACTGCCATTTGTTTTGGTGAGCTGACTCTGAGAGAAGAAAATACTCAACCACTGAATTAAAACATTTATTAACTATTCTTTTTCAATACAACTGTATTTTAAAAGAAAGTGATCCTTAAATAAGCAGTAAGACTGAGACAATCAGTTTTGCCTACCTTATGTAAATCCACTAATCTTAATGAGTTGTGTTACTATTTACATCAAAATGAGATTAAAGGCTACAATAATTCCAATATTATTAAACATTACCATGAAAAATATTCCTGAGACAGACACCATTAGTCGACTCAGCTTATCAGGGAAAGGTTGAAAAGGTTCAGGTTTTCCTGTGATGGGATTTACTCTTTCCACTTGGGAATATTTAGCTTCAAACTGGGGGCGCAGCTCTTCCTGGAATGACAGGGTAGATTCCATTTGTTATAACAACTTATTTCACTGAAGTATCAAAAATCAGATATACATGTGCTATAAAGTAGGAAATTTGTATTGATAAAAATTCTTTTTTATAATCCTCCATCTCAAACATCCAAAGAATTTACCCTTTTGAAAGTGCCAGAGAGCAACAAAGAACAAAAAACGTAAGAGCCTCCTCCAGTACGTGAGGGTATTAAAAGGATCACAGGTCATAATACTGGTCTAAGCACTAGGTTCTCTGCAAAAATTGATAAGAAAACTATAAACTAATGCCAGTTACGACAGCGCCTTTTGTGATATTAAGCCATTTATTAAAAGCCAACAGCTTGTATCTATGCATCTATGGAAAGGTATAAGAAAAGTAGTGGTTAAGTCTCTGTTGACTTAGGCTGCAGTTAAGTCACCAATATAGTTAAATCACAGCTATGTCCTCTACTGATTTATGAAGTTATAAAATCATTTTATTATTGCTGATGTTGATAGCAGAATGTTAAAGGACATGCTATGCCTCTAAGAAGGATATAAAATCTGTCCCTTTGCCTGTCTTGGTCCCATTTATACACAGGATTAGGAATTTCCAGTACTGAAAGACATTTGTGTTGGCATCCATAGTAGCTCCTGTCTTCTGTACAGGCAGTATTTCCACTCAGTTTTTCAAAGGATACTTTTAATAGATGTAGAATTATATCTGGAATTATAATGCTAGTTGCAGAAGGGAAAGTATGCTTGTACAGACTCAGGTATACTTTTTGATGCTGCAAATAGTGTTATAAATACAAGTATCTGAATGACAGTAGTGTACAGTAGGTATTGCTATCTACCCTTAAATCATGCTGACAGCACGATTTCCAGGTTTACTTCTGTTCAGTCTTACCTCTTCATCTTCCCAGTCTATGAGGTCCCAGTCATAGGTTAATACAGCTCTCCGTCTCTTCCAAAACTCTAGGAAGACTGTAGCTGTGGAAATCATCAACTGCATTTTAATTATGGGAAAGAAATAAAAAAAGGCCACACAGATCTCAAGAAAATCAACAATATGTAACATGGCAACTGTTGTTAGCCGCTGTCCAGCTGTTTCTCTATACTATCTGAAAACTATTAAGTAACTTAAGGATAACAACTGTTACAACTGGAACACTATTTTACAATGTTTATCTAAGAATCTTTTTTTTTTTTCCTGTCTGCTGTATTTGTAAAGAGATATGAGCCATACTTTTTAGATTGTCATTTTGCTTTTGATTTTATTCAAAACATATATGGTTTAAAATCTTTCCTTGAAGAAACAAGGATATGCATACACAATGACATCTATTATTAAAGTGCTACATTATGATCTCATTTTATTCAGTTCAAGACAATGAAGAAATCAAGACAACCTCATTCATTTCCCAGCTTCACCAGCTTTATACAGGAGCAGCTAATCTCTGTGTGAGATATCAGATTCTCTATGTGCTTAGTGGTTTTGGGAGATCCTATGAAAATAATTACAACCAATAATTAACCCCAAGTTTCCCAAACACTGTAGTTTGACACACAGGATAACACCTTGTTTTGATGGGATTCCTCACAAAATGTGGGCCTGCTCAATTGTTGCCTGGAAAACAGTGATTTCAAATAGGAAGTGAGAAAATTTGCTTCCTTCTGGGAAGCCAACTGCTCAGAAGGAGGATTTCTTACTCAAACTGAACAGGATGGTCTCACATTCCTAACTTTTTGTGTATTTCTGTATTATGTTTAATATCTTATTGGTTTTACATATATATTCTATATAGATATGACATAAAATGATATATTCATAATTTTATAAATATTATTTATGCTGGGGAGGGACTCTTTATTAAGTACTGCAGTGACAGGACAAGGGGTAACAGGTTCAAACTTAAACAGGGGAAGTTTAGATTGGATATAAGGAGGAAGCTCTTTACTGTAAGGGTCGTGAGGCACTGGAATGGGTTGCCCAGGGAGGTTGTGAATGCTCCATCGCTGGCGATGTTCAAGGCCAGGTTGGACAGAGCCTTGGGTGACATGGTTTAGTGTGAGGAGCCCCTGCCCATGGCAGGGGGGTTGGAACTTGATGATCTTAAGGTCCTTTCCAACCCTAACTATTCTCTGATTCTATGATTCATGACCCATATACTACATTAAAGCACAATGAGAAGTTAGCGGAAGTCCACCATACCACTACCCATAAATAACAGATGGCTGAGTAAAAGGAACTTGTCCCTGAATATAATCTCTAGTAGTATGTTCTTTTATTCTTCCAGGCATGGATCTTGTCTTCACTAGAGATTTCATTCAAGTTTTGGATGCTCCTAACAAGAAGAACAGCACACAGCTCTCCTACTTCAGCAGCAGTGGGGGTTTGCACTTGAGTAATCTGAGGGTGAAACAACCTTTTCTCACTGTCATAGGAAGTGCTATCACAACCAGTGCAGTGCAAGACTCAGGAATGTTACAGAAGACACCACCTTGCAAGAGAAATCCCTTCCTGATGTGAGGACTCAGGAGGAATGTTAAACCCATGCTACACACAAAGCAACCAATGCTTTTCTTCTGTGAGCAAATAGGTAGGAGAAATAAAGCACACTCTGCAAAACACAGTATTAGCTGTTGTGCTGTGAGTCAGGCTGCTCTAAGAAGCATACCCAAGATATCCACTAGCCCTGTGACAAAAGTGGTAAGCCTTCAAAAAAGGAAATAATTCAGCTATACTCAAAGGTAATAAAAATTAAGGTAGTGGCCCAGTTATCAGGAATAATGAATTTTAAATCCTTCTGATTTAAAACCAAGCAAATTAATTAGCGGTGCTTTCCCCCTGCCCTCCAGTGCCAGTAATGAAGAAAAGAATGAGGAATGGTGGACTACTGAAGTACATGCACATTTTTTTTTTTTTGTCTGGGAAGTATTTTAGCTTGTGTAAATATCTGTTGAAGTTCTGGTGTCCTGGGTTCAGCAGTAGCAGTCATTTTTCCCCTTCTTGGTAGCTGGTGCAGTGCAATGTTTTGACTTTCAGCTCGGGAACGGAGCTGATAACAAGCGATGTTTTGGTTTGGCCAAGGACTTTGTGAGCCTCATGCTCTGCCAGGGAGGAGGGGAAGCTGGGAGGAAGCAGAGACAGGACACCTGACCCAAACTGACCAAAGAGGTATTCCATACCACAGCACGTCATGCCCAGGATGTAACTGGGAGTTAGCCGGAAGGGCTGGGAGTCTGCAGGGTTGGAGGAGGTATCGGTCAGAGCTTGGTCGGGCTGGGGGGGCGAGTTATCGGTTGGCTGGTGGTGAGATGATGTATTCTCTTCCCTTGTTATTTCCTTTATCATTATTATCATTGGTGGTAGCAGTAGTGATTTGTGTTATACCTTAGTTACTAAACTGTTCTTATCTCAACCCGTGGGAGTTGCATTCTTTTTGATTCTCCTCTCCGTCCCTCCGAGAGCAGGGGGAGGGCAAGAAAAGGGGGGGAAGTGAGCGAACGAGTTACCTGACTGGGTTTAAACCACGACAGTTCTTTTTGGCGCCCAACGTGGGGCACGAAGGGTTGAGATAACGACAGATCTGACCGGATTAATAGTCACTCGTCACAATGCTGATTTATTGGGTCTCAGAGTTGTTTTGCTTGATCTCACAGCTTCAGAATGTTGTAACTTACGTAGAGCCGGTATTTGCTGTGATAGTGTTTATCAAGTATGGGGCTTGGGCTAAGGTTCTTGTCTCACTGTGCTTTATGGCAATGGCTTGTAATACGGGCGGGCTCCAGCAGCAGGGCGGGACGGACGTGGCCGTGGACTTGTACCTGGCCGTCCGGCTGCTCTTCACCGCCCTGGCCCTCACCCTACTCTCCATCTTCGTGAGGCTGTGGGGAGCCGAGGGGGAGCGGCCCCGGGAGCCGGCGGCTGCTGAAGCGGCCCGGGAGAGCGGCCCCGGGGACCAAGCGGCGGCGGGAGCGGGGCCGGAGGCCGCGAGGGGACGGCTGCCGGTGGAGGAGGTCGGGGCGGTCGAGGAGCAGAAGGAAGCGGCTACCGAGCAGCGGGAGAAGGCGGCGGAGGAGCCGATCCCCGCGGAGGAGCCGAGCCCCGCGGAAGAGCCGAGCCCCGCGGAGGAGCCGAGCCCCGCGGAGGAGCCGAGCCCCGCGGAAGAGCCGAGCCCCGCGGAGGAGCCGAGCCCCGCGGCCGAGCCCAGCCCTGCGACGGCCGAGAGCGAGAGCATTTCCCGGAAGCCGCCCGCCGAGCCCCAGGAGGATGCAGGAGACCACGCAGCATTTCCCAGCAAGGCAGAGGAGGAAGAGCTGGACTCAGGAAAAGAGAAGCTGGTGGTGGGAGAGCCGGCAAGCACAGCAGCTGCACCAGCCCCAGTGACAAGTACAGCAGCATCAACTGAGAGTTCTGAAGGTTTTGAATGGCCTTTGGGTGTCCTTGGGACCTGCCTGCTGATTGTGATGGGGATCAGCATGTTGGCACACACACAGACTGTGTTCTACCCACAACCATTTTGTCTGATCTCAGAAGTTAAGCAGAGTCAGGTTTGGGTCTTGTCTGGGGTTAGACAAGGATACAGGGGGACCAAGAGGTTTTCCCCAAGGCTGCACAGCCAGGAGTGGCAGGGTGTGTGTGACAGTATGGGCAAGTATCTAGTCCACTGGGCCCCTCCAGTGCTTTGGAAGCATCGGAGATGGAAGGCAGCTGTATGGAGTCCCCAGCAACAAGCTGCAGAAACTGCTGAAGGGGACAGTGAATTATTTTGAGCCTGGTGGGCCCAATGGCACTTCAGGCCATCAGAGCAGAGATGCAACACAGAGATGGACTCATGATCGAGGGGTGGACTTAGCAATGGACACTATTGCCCAGGTTATTCACGAGTGTGAACACTGCACACAGTCTCTCCTGCTCTGGAAGACTGTTACAAGAGATGGAGGCTGACATCATGGACCAGATGGACTCAGCAGCTTTATAGGGACTGGTCCATGCACTAAGATAAGAGTGCACTGAGATAAGAGTGATGGTATATTGAAAATGTGGGATCTGAGCATGACGTGAATGGTATGGAATAAGGGGTGGATAATGTCCTGGGTTCAGCAGTAGCAGTCATTTTTCCCCTTCTTGGTAGCTGGTGCAGTGCAATGTTTTGACTTTCAGCTCGGGAACGGAGCTGATAACAAGCGATGTTTTGGTTTGGCCAAGGACTTTGTGAGCCTCATGCTCTGCCAGGGAGGAGGGGAAGCTGGGAGGAAGCAGAGACAGGACACCTGACCCAAACTGACCAAAGAGGTATTCCATACCACAGCACGTCATGCCCAGGATGTAACTGGGAGTTAGCCGGAAGGGCTGGGAGTCTGCAGGGTTGGAGGAGGTATCGGTCAGAGCTTGGTCGGGCTGGGGGGGCGAGTTATCGGTTGGCTGGTGGTGAGATGATGTATTCTCTTCCCTTGTTATTTCCTTTATCATTATTATCATTGGTGGTAGCAGTAGTGATTTGTGTTATACCTTAGTTACTAAACTGTTCTTATCTCAACCCGTGGGAGTTGCATTCTTTTTGATTCTCCTCTCCGTCCCTCCGAGAGCAGGGGGAGGGCAAGAAAAGGGGGGGAAGTGAGCGAACGAGTTACCTGACTGGGTTTAAACCACGACATCTGGAAACAAAATGAGGTAGTTGTGGTCTAGAAGGAATACTAGACCTTGGACAAATGGTGTCTTCAGTCAGATATACACCAATCGTACAGTGCTATTTATTTCAGTGTGTCCCTTAAGATCTGGGATAACTTGCTTATTCTTTAAATCAAGATCTGAATCTAAGTTAGAGTTTTCAGGCTCTGGTATAGCATGAATAATAGGCTTGAGTATAATACGAATAATAATAATAATGATAATTTATGCTACTTATGGACATGAAGTAAAGTACCTCTTTCAGACTCACCAGAGCTCTTAAAAATGCTGCAATATTCTTTTTCATGAAGTAGAA